AATTGACAATTGGTCTGAATACGTGCGCCAACTACTCCTTGTGTTAAGGCTGGCAATTAGCCTGAATCCAGATTTAGACCAGCTTCTATTGTTATCTCGAGCCAGACTACCAGGACTGAGCAAATGATTCGCCAGAATGAGACGCAAAATATGAAAAACTAATCGTGATTCTTCCCCTAAAATCAAAACAGAAACAGCCTTCACATGTCTGATAAAAAAATGAAAAAAAGAAGAAGAAGAAGAAGGAAACAATATATTCGTCAGGTCTTGATCTTCCTGAATCTGTTCGTTGAATTCTTAAGGGAGCCCAGCATTAATCCTTCACTGAACTTTGCGGTGACCTGCCGAAACATTAAAAAAAAAAAATACTACAATTCATCTTTGCCTGAAGCTGATAATTCAGTGGTTTGTCCCGCCCCACAAGCACCGGAAGCACTTAAGCTCTCTATCCAAACTTTGTCACGCACGGTAGCTTCTGAGTCATCGTTTCGATGCCATGACCAGTGAGCGTGCGTTCGATTCAGTACCTTCAATCTCCCATGCCCGAAACTTGCCTCGTGGAACAGAGAAAGAGATGCAGACTTGTGATCCTTCTTGAAGCTTCAAAACAATTAACAGGCGGCTTAATTAGCTCAAAGTGTTTCCAAGTGTTTAGAATAAAATCGACTCGTGAGCTTTTTAACTTACTCTAATGCAAGCCCTTCTCTATTGCCTCCATCACCAATGGTTATATGTACAGGACCACAAGAGTTGGCCTTGTTGTCATAAACCCTTTTCTGCAGCAAATTAAATTACGCATGAAAATAGCTATATATATTTTTCTAATAATAAATGGTATTTTCCTTCCTTCAGATTTCAAAGTATTTGGTGTTTTATGATTTTTTTTTTCTTTAAAATCTCTAGTACCTCGCGATAATTTCTTTCTTTTTTTTCTTTTTTTTTTTGGGTGTGGGGGGGAAATTCTGTGAAGTCACCGTTAAGCTAAAATAAGTACTGAATGATCTTAACTACTCATGGTTACTTGTGAAAATATTTAATATGTACATGTGGGAGAAAAACTTACAAAGCGTTCATAGGCATGAACGTGACCAGCAAAAACAATGTCAACTCTAGCCTCATAAAGCAAATGCTCCGTTGCCCTCCTCATGTTTTCTCCTTCTCCTTGATGCGCTGCATTAGTATTATACCATGGCGCATGAAGCAGCACAATAATCCATGGAGTCTTCTCTCTGTCAACCTCACCCAAATCCTTAACCAACCACTTATATTGATCCGAGTCAGACCCAAACTCAGCGTACGAGCCTAACATCACAACATGAACCGCGCCCCCGGCCACATCAAAAGAATAGTAGAGGTTAGAGCTTGATCCACTCTCTTCATATGGCATTCTCCATCTATGATTATAAGAAGCAAAAGGATGAAACCAATCAAAGATCGGAAAGGCTTCAATCTCGTGGTTTCCTTGAGTCACCATCCACGGCCGAGCACTCGCTAATGGCTCTACAAGTCGACCAAAGGAGTCCCATAAGGGTTGATTTGTGTCGGCGTAGGAAAGATCACCGGGGAGTAGAAGCATGTCGTAGTTTGATGCGTTTATGTGGTTTAAGGTAGATGATGTCCATTCTGTTTGTCCAAGGTCTCCTGTAATAAAATTATAAATCTAATGAAACATCTGCAGACACGAAAACTGAATGTCGCAAACAAAAGTCACCGAAATTAATGTATAAGAACGCACTGCGAATATATTCATGGAGAAACTAGGCCATCACAAGCTCAAACGCAGGCCCAGCAGAGGGAAATAATTTACAACGAAGAATGGATCATATCTCTCAAACCAACGTCGGAATTGGAAAATTATACATGAAAATCGTGTATTTTTTTTGTGGACAGAGTCAACCAAACCCACCATTGTTCGGTTTACCGCTGTTTGTTTCATGAAATTCCCTCCGGATTGAGAGTTTTTGTCATTTTTTTAGTATTTTAGGTAATATTTTAGGAGTCTGTTTTGATTAGAAAATAAATCCGGTTTGATTCTAAATTTGACCAATTTGTTTTCCCAGTCATAGGAGCCTTTTAAGGAGAGTTTTGTTATTTTCATTTTGGGTATAGTTCAGGTCCTAGTAGGAGTTTTGTTTGTTTTCTATTTAAGCCGAGGGTTTTAAGCCCTTGATGCATAACTTTTTATCAATAAAATTTTCTCTTTATTATATTTTCTTCATGGATTCAAATATTGTTCTTTGTGAATTCAGAGAACAACCCTTTTTGGATTCGGAGATTTATAACTTTCGCGATGCGTTAGAAAACACAGTTGTTTTTGAAAAATAGACCTCCTGAGGGTAAAAGAATCAAAGGAATTTCACTCAAGGATCTATCCGCACTTGTGTGATATTACAGATAGTCTATCTGCAACACTAGAGCTACTGGGAGTCGATCTACATTTAACCCAAAAATACAGGCTTACGACTATAAAAAGCTTTGATTCAAATTTGGTACTGAACAAACCTGCAACAGCGAATTCGATAGGGAGAGAAGCTGGAGGGGTTTTGAAGCTGTACATGTCATCAATACCACCACAACGATAGTAATAGACCGTATCAGGATCCAGTGGACCGATCTTGACGTGATGAATTGTGCCTGAATTATAGAAAAAGTATCGATACGTTGTGTGCTCACCAGTGGCTGATTTATCATACACCCCCGAAGCTCTACCATATTCAACTAGCGATTGTGTGTGCTTATCATCTGCGATCCATGTGATTCTCATATGATCTGCTCCTACTACTGAAATATGAACCTGAAACAAACCAAATAACGATGTAAGAACCTGAAAACACACAAACAATTGTAGAAACAACCTCGCCTAACTATACTTGTTGAGGATGTGACTCGGGCTTTGAAGACCGCATCGCAATAATCTTCTTGGGCGGCGGGCGGCTGTACTCGGTGGCTGAAATGGTCAGGATGAGGAGGAGGAAAAAGACGATGAGAGCTAAAGGCGATGGATTCGCCATTTCTGTTCTCAGAGAGGAGCAATGTAAAATGGAGCAAGTGATGGTTAATTTTAGAAGCGAAGGGTGTTGTAGCTTTGTGGACAGAATACTGTGGCGTCAAGGAATGAAAGAGAGTGTTACAAGTTGTGATGGGATATGCTTTCAGCATTGGCATACATTTTCTAACGTGTCTCTGCCAAGCTGGCACATACAAGGCCGCATCTATGCCTACATCACTGTTATATGTCTACACTGTATTTTTCTTTTTTGAGGTATTAATTGAGATCAGATCTTCAATAAATTTATTAACTAGAAGAACTGATAGATACGAATATACATAAAGAAGACGGGAAAAAAGCCGTCTGAGAAGGATTAGAAAATGAGATAGACTAATCAAGATATTTCTACGTTTCTGAGATTATTCAAGAACACCTTCTCAATTACGTCAATTTCAATTAAAGAAGTAACGGTAAAGAATACACAACCCCACTTTATCTTCACTGTAGTACTTAAAATTGTCCACACATGTCATGCCCCGAAAACTATAGCGGAAATTCATAAATACGGGTTACGAGACAGCAACGACCCACGCACAAGATAAGTCTCGTGCACGAGTCAAGCCTGACACTTTATATCACGTAGCTTAACTCAAAACATATACATAAGTCTGCTGAAGATAGTAGCTCAAAACAAACTATACATATATACTTATAATCATTATTTACATTTTACAACCTTACCGTTGTAATTATTTACAACGCAAAACACTCTTTTTGATGAACATAACACCACTGGAGTCGAGTTTCCAAATAAGCACTTCTTTAACCATGCCCACAACTAAAAATTTGGATTATCACATTTCTATATCGGATCTGGAAAAAAAATTAAAAAACAACGGAGTGAGCTAAAACTCAGTTAGAACATTTCCCACTAGAGATCCTAGATAACTAACAAAATTCTAATAATTCCCAGAAATAGTGAATTATAAGCTTGTCATAGGATATCTCACAAAAATAGCAAAATATGGTCCAATAATAACATACTATTGCTATATTCAAGAAAGAAAGTGCAAGTTAAATATATCGTAACGTATTCCAGAATCATGGTAATGTATTCCAAAATCAAACTCTCTTTAAAAATAAGTAATTACTAAGAAAGAAAATGAACTATTAAATTTGTGTAAAACCAAAATATCATTACTTCCTCGAATTAACACTCAAATCTCAAAATCATAAATCTCGATGAGAACATTCATGAAATGGAAGAATCACCTCATAGGTCTTACTAAGGCTACGAATTATAGCCTAGTAGCATGGAAATGCCAAAAGACATAACATAACACATAGTTCCTGAGAACAGATGCATCTAACTCTGTCATAGGCTGCCGACCACATCACGAACGCCCAAAAAGAGCCACATCACAAATGCCAGAAGGCTACATCACAAATACCCATAACGGGCCACATAAAGGTGCATTCTAACCATATGTCAGGAACAAACACATAACTCCATAGTGGACTTTCTGAGGATTTGAAAACATTAAGAATTGCTTATTAAATAGCTTGATTTCGGAAACACATCATTTGTCAAATTATTTGATTTCAAAACAAATCACTTATCAATTTTCTTGTTTCCAAAACCACTCGTCAAATCATTTTATTTCAAAATGCGCCATTTGCGCCAAAAATATTATTGGTATGTTTACTTACCAAAATTGCAAATACTTTAAATCAAGTAGACGAGCGTAAATCTCATCATCTCAGTTAAAACAATTTACGAATTTCACTTTTCTCTATTTTTATCAAACACTAAGTCATAGAAAATCTTTGAATTCACGAACTGTTGTGACACCTTCAAATATTATTATTATTTTTCTTCAAAAGTTTTCAAATAAGCATTATTCACAATTAATTGAGTTTGCATGAAACCAAAACTACTTATCACATTTTATGTGAAACCTAATTTACTTTTAATATCTTGTATGAAATCAAACCATATTATATGTTGTGCTATAATAAAATAGATCAGCTCACATTTAACTTTATATATATACACAAATAAATAGATTATTTATTTTTCGAGCACAACATGGAATCAAATATAGCATCCATAAAAATTTCATATTAAAAAAATACTAGTGAGAAATGAACTCACCTCCAATGAGTACAACTTCCACAAAACACTACTTTCCAAATATCAACCTGAACCTACAATATAAAATATAAGACTAATATTAATTCAGGACAAGTACATATTATAGGATAATCACTGCAAAGTTTAAAATCAATCATATTCAAGTATACTCAAATAATAATTATCTATAAATAAGGTAAACGTAAGCTTTCTTGCTAATTTTATCAATTTACTATAATTTTCTATGATATTATTCTAATAATTTTAAACTTATTATTAATATATAGCGCACCTCAGGGGATTCTAATTAATTATTCGAGCTTAATTCCTAACTGAGCTTGAATCTTTTAGATCTGATAGAAATCAACAAAGCAACAGAGATCTACAAGAACATTTTTATTCTTTTTTATCTTGTGGACCTATATAGAACTTACCTATTTTACTTTAGAACATCTACAACAGCCTCCCTATCTCATGTCCTAGACTAAATATGGAGAGTAGGAAGGGGAAAAGTTACTCCAACAGGCTCTTTATGTTGAAGACTAAATATAAGGAATAAGATTTGGTATTCCAAATTAAAGATAACAAATGGACTCCCTATATTTAGTCTCAACATAGAGAGGGTTGTTTGAGTAACTTTTTTCCCCTCCTACTCACTATATTTAGTCTAGGACATGAGATAGGGAGTCATTTAGGAAGCATTGTTAGAGCACTTACTTCTCATTTAGCTCTCTATTTCCTAGGATGCGAGATTTGCTCCTCAAATATAAGGAAAACCTAAGATCACTCTTGGAGATGCTCTTAATTCCCTTTTTTCTCTCTCCTTTATCTCTTTCTTCCTCGATCCTCTTCTTATTATTTTTTCGTGTTCGTTTCTCTCTCTTTTTTCCTCCTCCGCGGCTACTCGGCACAGCGGCCTTATGTTCCGCTGTCGGAGCGGCCTCCCGAGGGTGAGCCTCCCCAGGCAATTGGGGTCAACGACGAGGTTCTCGCTTGCGGTTAGGTATGTACTCTTTTTTTTTCCTCTCAATTTCTCAAGACATCAAAGATTAATTCCTTAAATCAAAGAAAAACAAGGAGGAGATGAGTCTATACCTTGGATCGATTTGAATTTAGGGTAATATTCAACTTCCCCTTTTCTTTCACCGTCACCTTCTTCTTTCTCTTCTTCTTCTCTCTTTTTTTTCACCCTAATTCCTCCCCCTTTCCTCCCTTTTATCCTACTATGAGATGGTGAGAAACACCGACATGGAGAGGCGGTGAGAAACAGTGAAATGTGATTTTTTAAAATATATATTTTATCATTTCCCCCCTGTTTATTTGGGGCTGTTACAACACATACCCCTATAAGAAGGTTGCCATGTGGGTTTTCTTTTTCTTCATCGCTGTTCTTGATCCGGATCCAATAAGACAGAATGGGTACATATATCATAAAATGTATATATCTGATACGATCACGGTTGGCTTTCAGAATGCTCGCGCAAATAATCATTTATCAATTTGAATTTTCTGTAATGAAGGTTTTGTTGACTAATGAGAGACAAACTGAAGAATCTAGGAGCATATCCTCTTCTCAAGTCTAATGTGTCATTTTTATGACACACTAATCAATTAATTTGATGATATGCTGGTTGGCGAGAGGTTGGCGAGAGGTTGGCGGATGGAGAAAGCAAAGACAGTGTCCAAAGTTATAATTTCTTTAGATCTTGGACGGTGATACTAAGAATATGTTACAAGATGTTGAGTAAAGTTATGCATCAGAAAAGCTTTAAAAAATGAGGATGCATGTGAGAGATCTTTACTAGGACGTTTCTGCAAATTTTTTTAAAAGTTGGTCAAATGGGTATATCCTGGAATCTGAACTTATATTTGTTAAGTACTCTTGTCCTGTTTGGCAAAGGGTTAAGCTAGAGAGATTAAGGAGAAGGATTAACATAGTTAACCCCTTCGATAATCTAAAGCACTAAATTGTTAACTCTAAATATGAGTATTAGTAAACCACTCATTTTGAGGGGTTAACTCATTTTAATCTCTCTAGAGGGTTTAGCTTAACCCTTCTACATTTTTTACGTTTGGCAAATTATGGAGGGTTAACACACTTTTAACCCTTGTAGGTACCGTTTGGCAAATGGTTAAGTGAGGGGTTAAGGAGAGTTAATCCCTTCTTAACCTGCCAAACACAACAAATCTATATAAGGGTTAAAGTGAGTTAACCCTGTTAGATCTACATCATAAACTTTAGATCTAAAACCATATAGCCATGATTAATTCAAAGAGATTAACAAGGATCTAAAAGAGCGGAAGCTTATACCTGAATCCATGGATGAAAACTTGATTTGGGTTTTTGATGATCTTCTAACCTTAGGGTTTCTCCAAATCCGAATTTCTCTATCTAGATGGGGGTGTAGAGAATTAGAGAATGTAACCCTAGATTAGGGACCATAACCCCTTATTTATAGATGTTGTACTTTTGTAATTTAGCCCCTCAATAAATTACAATTACAACCTGGTATCTGCACATATAACCCCATGACTTATTTAAATACCAAATTAACCCAACTTAATTGATCACTTTAGTGGGTTATCCTGAAAGATAGCAATACACATTGATTAATCATATGTGCCCACAAATAGATTTATTAGATTAAATCCAACAATCTCCCACTTGGGCACCATATGATTCCTTAAATTGTGTATAACCTTATGAGCTCAAAAATTGCTATCACTGAAATGGTATTTCCGAACAATCTCGTCCATTGACTATATCAATATAGGATCAAAGCGGCCTTCGTCACATTTATCGTGACTCGACCCATCAATGGTCACATATACCAATACAATCAAACGACATAGATCAATCATGGATGTGCAGCATGAAAATTACATGCAATGTGATCAGTACATGTCTATTTTCAACTGGTCCTCCTTAGTGAGGTCAAAACC